CAAAAAAATGACAGCCATAAAGATCACTAATAGCCCTATAGCATCTTTCAGAAGTCCTGAACAGCCCACAAATTAATTACTATTTCTCCACTTTAAAACATCCATAAAACACTTATTGCTTTTAAATACCAATAAACTGTTAATAACCTCAACACAGAGACCTTTTGGAAAGCTGTCCTAAATCATAATCTAATTTTTAATAATCCCCTCTTCAACTTCTTAGCCATATGAAAAATAGCTTTATGCCTTAATGCCAATTTAAAGCATCATACCCCCTGTTCACAACCCAGACACCTAAGTCAGGTCAGCAGGAAACACAATAGTTCTCCAGGTGAATTTCCCCAAACCCTACCTTAGCTCTGGACACTTCTGCCACAGCAATGCTCTGCCTGTCATCATCCCGGCCTACTCTTATAGCTGTGCTTGATACTCAACAGAATGTGCCATGTTCAACACAGCGGGTGTCCTCCTCTGCGTGCACTTGCACACTGATTACTCCCACCTAGAGGCCTCTCATTCTAAATGTCAGCCCTTGGTCTGGCCTTTTCTTCTCTCAGTTTTCTTCTCAGGCTGGAAATCAATTGCTGGTCACCCCTATGCACTATGATATGTAACCAGGCCCACTAACACTAGAGTGTTTTTTAAAGCATATAATTGGTTATATCTTCTGGTTTTTGTTAACAACACACTGCTAATGTGCAATACAAGGAAGACAGAAAAACAGGCTCCGCACTTAGCTAGGTTTGAGTCACTGCTTATTTCCTTTATGTTCTGTAGAGACTTGAATCATCTATTGATGATGGACTCCCACTGCCATTCAGACCAACTAAAATTCTCCACTTAAACTCAGTAATTTATATTTGTGCCTCCTATCTTATTTTTACCCCTTACTCCCTTTTTGCCCCCAACAAATGTTGGCTGCCCTCTTAAAGCAATGTATTAGGCCAAAAGCTGTCAGAGATGGGAACAGGGAAATTAAAGGACTGTTCTGTAATTAAGGACTCCTCTTGGTCTGTGCTTTTATAAAGCCCACTCCTACTACCTAGCAACACTTGTCCATAGAGCTGCCTCTAATCTAAAGAAACCCCCTCTTCCCATCATGGGTAGGAGCCAACCTGCTTCTACCTAGGCAAAGTCAGAAGACAGGGTGTGGCTTCCAGGGAGTTCAACAGGATGAAAGACTGCCTAGAGGGGCCATATCCACAAAGAAGACACAATACTTCCTTAGTCAACTCTTCAAAAACAATGAGCACCATTATAGTGTAGCTAAGGGCATCCATCCCTGTAACCATCAGATAGATAGCCATGCAGAACTGGAGATTCTGCTTCTAACCCTTTTCCTCCCAGGGCCAAAGGCAGCTGTCTTTTTCAGCTCTTTTTTCTTTTTATCACTGTCCATTGCTCCACCATAGGATTATTATCACAATGATTTGCATTCAGAAAGTGGTGTGTCATTTGCTCATGACAACCTTTTGAAATGAAGTGCGGTGTGGTGTAAAAGGCACTGGGCTTGCAGTCAGAAGACTAAGACTTGGATGTCAGCTCTGATAGTTATCTGGGTGACTATGGGTAAGTCATTTAAAATATTTGAGCCTTAGTTTCTTCAACTAAAAAAAAATAAAGACTGGACTAGATTACCCTAAAGGCCCTTTCACTTCCATTCTATTATAGCCAGGTCTCTCAAATCCAAGTCCAATGTTATTTCCACCACACTTATGGCTGTTCCGGATGTGAACCACAAAGTGGATTGTCCCCTTTGATAAGTCCAATGGTTCATTTAATGAGTATATCTAGAATGGGCAGCCACCATGAACATGCGCTGCTTAATGGCAGCAGTTATGTTAGCCTGGGCACTTCCTTCTGCCCTTGTTCCATGTTCCTCTGCAGACCTGATCAACCAATCAACTCATATCAACTATGTGTCAGAGACTTGGAAGAAGATAAAAATGAAGCAGCCCCTGCTGCCTTCAAGGAATTTACATTCTATCAAAAATTTTTAAAAGGCTAAGAGATGTGGGAACAGAAATTTCCCCTAGAAAAAAACCGGTGGGACACAAACAAATACTAATTTTTTTTTAAAAAAGTTTTAATTTCCATGGAGTTGTCAGTTTTTTAGCCAGAAAACAGCGACTCAGAAAATTAAGAGTGGAGTCAATCAAGATAAGGTTGCATTCACTAAGAGATATGACATTTCTGTATTTATAAACAAACCACGCATGATTTCTCTGATATCCAACAACCACCTGACCCACGAGGTTACACACAGGCCCAAATGGATGTGGCTGGTAATTTTCAAGGCAGGGGAGCCTCTTTTGCTTGTGCTCTTCTGATAAAAACTATCTTTAAAAAGAGTGCAAAAGAGCAGAGTGACAATCAGTATAACTAACTTTAGGATTCTGGTTCAGATAAGTCATTTCAAAACGAACAGACAGAAGCAGAATTAGGAGTGCCATGTTCTATTTTTGTTTGGCTACTATGTGACATTAGCTAAGTCACTGTATCTCCTTGTGCCTCAAGTCCTCCGGTTGTAGAATTATCACAATATTCACAAACCACCTTCCCACCTCATGGGGATGGAGCTTCTCAAGTTCTCTGACTCCTTAGAAAGTCCTACAAACAACTATAACTATGACAGGAAAAGGATTTTCTTTATAAAAGCTGCTACTATTGGGGAATAGGTGGTCACAATATGATTGGAAAAATTTGTCGTCCCCCTAATCCTGCCACCTTTCCCTCTCCTTATGGATACTGAGGCCTAGAGTAGGTAAGTGACCTATTCAAGATCTTATTTTTCCTTATGACAGGAAAGCAGTACGATATTGTGATTAAGGATAATGATGCCTAACATGGTTATAAGTTTCCATACAGTTGGGCTTGCATCAGCAGCAAATAGGCATTAAAAACTTTTGTAAAAGCTTTTCATTTTTAGAGCTATAATTAAACATGTATCCCTAGGAATGAAATTTTGTGAGAATACTGACTGAGAATCAAACCAACAAACCCTGAGACATCCACTTTTTCACATGCATAAAGCTACCTCCCAAGAAAATAAAATAAAAATTTACAACTACTTGTAAACATTTACCATCTTTTCCACTTGACTTGTTTTCTGATTTTCAAGCTGCCTGCCCTGTTTCCAAAAAACTAAATACCTCAGAGCAAAGAGCAGTCCCCCAGATAACTAAAATAAATTTTCAAAAATTAACATTACCACTTTGTGATGTAAACATTTCATTCATGGCAATGGGCAATATGGTGATGAGAAAGGCACATTCAAGATCACATAGATTTACTTTTCACCAGATGAATACTATCATATCAACGGAAGAGAAAAGAAATAGGAGATTTGCAACTTACCCTCCTAAGTTCCAGCATCACATTTCTAATTGCCTATAAGACACGTCCACTTAAATATCCCATTTAAAGCTCATATTCAAGGTGTCCAAAACTTGTCTCCCCTTATGAATTTCCCTATTTCTGTCAGTGGTACCAACACCTGCCCGACCTTTCAGGTTTAAAAAGTCTCTGAAGACATCTTTGATTCTTCTTCCTCTCTCACATCCCACATTCCATCATCTGCCAAGTCCTATCACTTAGTCCAACCTCTCTATGCCTTGGACAGCCATCCATCGACCTAGACAGCTGCCGAAGCTGGCTTCCCATATCTACTCTCTGTCCCTTTCGAAGCTAGGCCAGGCTTCTGACCATTGGCATGCTTGATTTCTTTATGCGCAAATCTCATTTGGCCATTTCTTTATTCAGAGTCATGTTATGGTTCCATTCCTACGAAGTCAAGTCCTTAACCAGTATTCAAAGCCTTCCACAAGCTGGCAACAACCTACCCATCCCAGCCTTGGAATCTAATACTAATCCTCATTATGTACCCTATACTGCTCCAACACAGCTCACAATCCCTCAGACTTTTATGCTTTCTTGTCTTCTTTTGGTCAGGTCCAACACTATCTCCAATGCTCAAAGCATGTCTCACATGCTACCTACTCCATAAAGCCCAATTCAAATGCCTCCTTCACAGCAATGTCGCTTTCTTGGACTCCTCCCACTGGTTGAGCTTTTCCCGAATACGGCTCAAAGCACATTTTTGCGAGGTCTCCTGTATTTATTTTGTACTGCAATTATTTGTATTTGTGCCAATTCATTCTACTAGACTATCAAACACAGAAGGTCAAGGATTGTGTTTTATTTCATTTCAGTATTATTCCAGGACCTAATACAGTGCTTTGCACATGGCAAGTGCTTAATAAAAAGCTGTGAAATCAACATTTCTGTGAACTTGAGAAATTATACATATAAGTATGTATGCATATGTATATTTTTACATATATTCATATCTTCTATAAGACAAAACAAAAACACCCTGCAGGAAGAACTTAATACTGCCAATGCTTCAACATAAAACTCATTCTTTTTTTTTTGTTGTTCTTACACATTTAATAAAGATCCCTTTGCTTCTGTGGAATAGCATCAGTGGAAAACAGGTGGATTCTACCTTCAAATCATAGTGATGGACAACATAATAAAGTCTATTGACAAAGCAGTCAGTTACAAAAGGGAACCAAAGAGAAGTCTTTTAATTTAAATCCAATCAAAATTACTGAAAACTGATGAAAAGATCAAATGAGTATTTGATTAAATTATCTCCCTCGTTTTCTTCTCTCTCTTGTCGCGGCCATAAATACCTTCTCTTCCACCTTCCATGTTTCTTCTAGCCTTTGCTTTAAAAAACAAAACAAAACGAAACAAAACAAAAAAACAAACTAAACAAAACCAAACCAAAAACAAAAAAAACCAAAACTCAAAACACCAAGCCCCCCACCCCCCAAAAAAAGACACACACTTCTTAAAGGGGAAAAGGGGGGGGGCAGTTTAAGCAAACTGCTTGGACAAAATAGCATCTATGTCATGTGCAAAAAAAAATACCATGTAAAGAAGCCAGGGTCTATTAAGTAAGTGAAGGTTACCACATTAGATCCTTTCCCCACCTCAGGGAGTTATCTGGATGGGTCTCCATGTGAGTCTCCAAGCCATACTTGCAAACAAATTCTTTGAAACACACTGGGCAGTGAAAAACTTCATCTGTTTTCTTCTCTGCATCACCTGATTGAGAATCCTCCACCACCTTAAAAAAAGAATAAGAACCAAACGTAAGCCACTAAGCCTGACCTCATGTGGAGTTTTCTCAAGCAAATCCACTTGCTTCAGCAAAGACCAAGGAACATTAGCTGACAAAGAAAACCAACCTACTTGACCTTCTCTCTATACTCTCTGTCTGATTCGATTTAGATGAAGTCTACAGAGTAAGATGGGAAGGTGGTAAAGAAGTCCTCACTCATATTATTTCTCTGTATATGTTGCCAACTAATTCATTTTAGTACATCAGAAGAAGATCAGGTGTCTATAAAGAACACACACACAAACACCCCCTTTCTGAAGGCATTTTTACAACACCATATGGGTAAGAACATGTTAAAAACCAAGATTAATATTGAACGGACATGTCAAAGACACAACAGAAAGTCAGACTAATTAGAAGAGTTCCCTGTCAATGGGCACAAATGAAGATGAAAAGCCAGAAATCAAGAATAAGTTAAAATTTAGGCATGTTAATTGTTGTACTGTGCAACACAAAAGACCTTTTTGGCAGGTGTTAGATCTTCTTTCTCCGAGTCAGCCTCCTGACTTAGTTTCCTTTTGGAGGTCATCCGCCTGCGTTTCAGTGGGGATGGGGGTGTTGTGGTTGTGGTACTGTTGGGATCCTTCTCATGAATCTTCATATGTCTGAAGAAAAAAAACCAGAAAAAAAAATCTGTTTTAAACCACAAAAATTCATTTCAGGTATCATTTTCTCATTTTAAATTCTTACAAAGGAGTACTAAAATGTTTTACAGCCAAAGTCCAAATGTAATTAATTGAAGAATTTTAAACATAATTTACACATGTGCTTTCATTTATTTCAAACTTATAAACTTTCCTAGCTCTTTCTGTGTGCTTCCTTCCTTTTCTACTTGTGGCAAAGCTTAAACAAAAAGCTATGGAATTTCCTTGCTGTATGTAAGATGTTATTCTTGAATGCAATCAACAATGTAAAGTAGTTTTGTATTTTTTTTAAGGTGGAGACACAATAGACTTTATTCCCATTTAAAATCAACATGTTTCAATTACTGCTTTAAATACCTGTCCTGAGGAAAATGGAGAAATGTGCTAAGATTGAAAGATGGAAAGAGTCTTGCAGTTAAACAGCCCGGGTTTGAATCCAGATTCCATTACTTGCTACCTTGATAACCCTTGGAGATTCCAGGAAAGGAAAAATTTAAACTATTTCAAGAGACCTAATAGCATATGCAGCTAACCAGAAAGAGGACATTTTTAAAAATGTACTTTTCATAAATCATACTACTCAGAAATTTCCAAAACCAGAAGTTGTTTAAATAAAAAGATACCTTGAAGAATTAAACTAAATATATAAGTTTCTGTAAAAACAAAACAAAGGTGTGAAAATGCTCTTATTTCAAAAACTAAAGCTGGAGGTTGGGGCAGAGTATTGGTTAAATAATATACCTACTGTTCTGGTCATCTGAAGATAATTCTGACCATCAGTAGGGACATGCTCTTTGATGGTTTTATGTTTGAAATCATGTGACGATTTTGCTTTGCTCTGTTCATAATCTATCATTTGGCCTCTCTTGACCACAGGGAGGCAGGCAGGCAGGTGGGCCAGCATTCAGAAGAGTCTATGCATACATGGAGTACAGTAAAGCAAAATATCCCATAGAGTTATCAAACATCGGGCCATGGCCCCAGTAGCATCATATTGTAATCAGAATTGAGAAATATGTATGTTCAGCTGAAGCCAACAAGACACAATTCAGAGTGTTCCAAGTTTTCTCACCACCAGCACCCAACCATTCCATCTCATTCCACAATATACTCAAATTCTACTTCACCAATATCTCCACTTGCCAGTACCTTGGCCCACACTCCAGAGTTAGTATACATGCCAGGCCTATTAAAAACATTTCAGTTATGGCCATTTCTTAAAAGAGTAAGCCTGTATAAGGTGTATCGCAAAACTACTGTGAAAATGGGAAAAGCAAAGCTCGTGTCCATGTGACATCAACCTTTAATTTATAGTAATCTGTCTTTCCAAAAAGCATGTAACTCCTGCTAAGTATTGGATATGTACCAAGCACAGAGAAGATCTCGTAAGTGTAAGTGTTTAATAGAACATCTTAACTCCTAACCCTGGGGGAGCGAAACAATAGTACAATCTTTCCATACTGCTCACTTTGCTCAGAATCATGTGGATCCGATATGTATAATCCAGAGAGTAACTATGAATATAAATTGTAATTTTAAAAGGTGGTGACCGTGGCTTTGACTTTTACTGCCTAAATCAAAATCTGACTTTTTGACCATCTACGTTATTAGAAATACACAATTATTTATTTTAAAAGAATTCCAAACCAGTCGTTTTGAGGCGACATCACTGGAATCTGTGGACCTCTGGGGGTGATCTTATCCTTTGCTCAATGGACTCCACTTCATCAAGTGCCAAAAGAAACAACCCAAGAATGACAAGATCCCAAGGTATACAGAAAGGAAAAGCGATCTTCATCTTACCACATGGTTATACTTCCTGAAAAACCCTGTTCAACTGGCATTAAACAGCGCCAGAAACAGAACTATGGTCACCATCTTTTATCAGAAACTTCCTTTGTTAGAAGGTAGAGAACAGTGTTTCTGAAAAGCAGGTTGGGAGGGAGAGAGTCAGAGAGACAAAGATCAGAAGACAGATAAATAGAGACAGATGGACAGCACGGCCTACTGGAGGGAAGGAGAAATAGGGAGGGGGAGAGAGAGAAAGAGAGAGAGAAAGAAGAGACATACACACAGAGACCAAGAGACTGAAAGACAGAGAAAGTGTGTGTGCATAGCAGATGACCTTGAGCAAATCACTTAAAACTTGCTGGGCTTTATCTCCTTTGTAAAATAAGAGAATAGCTGTTGTTTAAGATTCTTTCCAGTTCAGAAGTCCTACAGATCAAGGTTTCTCATTCTTAAACAATTTAAAGAGACAGAAGTCCATAGTGTACTGCCATGCTTTGTTTACCTACCTCCTTCCACCTCTCCTTTCAGAGAGCTTGAAAAACTAGCTACTGACAAAAAGACTAATGAAATGTTTATTATTATTTATGTCCCTGCTTTCTATTGTGCCAATGTCTCTGGGTGACAGCAATGGCAACCCCACAGGGCCATCTGTAATAATAACAAAGGGCAATCAATAACAGGAACTGACATTTATCTAACACTTTTTCTTAAACACGAAGCGCTTTCATACACTGGTCATATATGTCATTTTGAACCTCACAATAGCCCTGTGAGGTCAGTGTTGTTATGAGCTCTAGGAAACTATTTCAGAGACATGGAGTAACTCGAGACAGGATTCAAGTTCAAGTGTCTCAAGACTCCAAATCACGTGATCTTCACACTTTCCCCATGCTTCCTATGGCTAGCTTCATTATCTAAGTTTTCCAAATAATTCTCTGCCTGGATTTCATTAAAATGCTACCTTTTCTCCCTGCCTGGCAAGACCACTGTCTCCCTCTTGGAGCTGGACCGAATTGTACTACGGCCAAACACCCCTGGCCAGTATCTAACATGCCTCAGGTCATCTAGTTCTAATTTATAATTATATAGATGAAGAAACTCTACAGAATCCTATAGATGAAGAAGGAGAGATACAAAGAGGTGAAAAGAGAGACTCATTTAAGGTAGCTCCAAAGTGATAGAACCTAGATTTGAACTTAGGTCCTCTGACTCTGCCCATAGGCATCCCTGATTTAGGTCAGTCCCTGCATAGTAGGTGAATAGGAAATGCCAAGTCAAGGATTGATGAATTTGTGTCTTTGAGATGTTTGTGATTTCATATTTTGTAAATAGGAGGACTTAAGTCAGGACGAAATTAAGGTATCTGACCAAAGACACATATGCCACCACTTCCACAAAGCATTTCCCCTGCTAATGATCCTTCTGAACCACATCTCCAGGCCCCAACTTCCCTAGCCCCAAACCTGACATAACATTTATAAAACTTACAGAAAGTGCTAGGAATTAGGCAGGGAAAAGATCCTTTAGTACAAGTAAGAGTTACATACCCCTGCCAGAGTATGGGTTCCATGAAGACATGTCACCCAGCACTTTAGCATGGTAAGCTGCAAAAAGTATATGGTTAGTAAGTATTCATTGGCATTGCACTTTCTCAACTTTAGTCACGTATAAATAATAAAGCAGACATAGTAAAAATTTCAAGTTGCTGTGGTCACTATGACAGGCCTGGCTTCCTGGTCCTAGTGTACAGTTCAGCAGTATAAGATCGTTTAAAAGCTGAAACTACCTTAAACTCCTTGTCTAAATCCTATCTATGGACTACAACAGTTGTTTCCAACATTCAACAGGAGAAGTGGAAATTAAGGAAAGTGTGGAGACAGCTGAATTCTGGGATAAAACCAAGATACTAGATAGAACCCAAGCCAGCCCAGCAAACTAGGTAGAACTGTGTTACCTTTGACTAGCAGGCAACCAAAGTCTTTCCTTATAATTACCCTGTGCCATTCCTAGGGGACAAGATAGCCCCTCAAGGGGTCACTTAAACTGCATATGCCTCACAGGTAGATTTCAGAAAAACCAAGACTTATATGAACTGACTGATGCTGAGTGAAGTGAGCAGAACCAGGACAACATTGTACACAGTTAACAGCCACATTGTGTGACGGACTTTTCTCAGCAATGCAACAATCCAAGACAACTCCAAAAGACTAATGATGGAAAACACTGCCCACAACCAGAAAACGAACTATGGAGTCCAAATGCAGATCGAAGCATATTATTTGCTTTCTGTTTTACTGCACGTGGTGGGGAAGGGAGAGATAGGGAGAAAATTTGGAATTCAAAATCTTATGGAAGTGAGTGTTGAAAACTAAAAATAAATAAATAAATATGTCAAAAAAGGTGATAAAAGAAAGTCAACATGAAAAAAAACTATGTCCCTCGTTTCACAGAAGAAACAGAGGCTCATACTGGGTAAGTGAACCATTTGAGGTCACCTCACTCCTAAGTAGTGGAGCTAGGAAGACCCTCAGGTTCTGTTCCAAAGCTGCGAAGCCCCTGCTTCATTACATAAAAGCTGTGCATTTCACATCATAAAGCAAAGCTGGTCAAACTTTTTTTCAGACTTTCCATCATCTTTCCATTTCCACCTTTAATGTCCCTTTCTTAGCTCCATTAAAAGTCAAACAAACATTCATTTGGTCTAACACATTGCTCTCTCTTACTGGGGAGGGGGAGGAGATGTTATGTATGTGTATGGGTAAAGATGTGATGGAAGCAAAGGCAGAGAAGAAAAAAAGGTTTGAACATTTATAGGTTGAGAAGCTCTGTACTGGCCAAAAAAATTCTTAAGACCCTCCTCCAACTCCCAGTCACACCTTGGTGTGGCTAATTAAGTCTCCAGTTGTTTGCTAAAACATGCAATCAGTTTTTCCAACGTTTGCAGTCCAACAGCAGTAACTACTTTTGTAAGTAGTTCACTCAACACTTTGGCCAATTTTAACTGCTAAGATCTGAGAGTTGCAGTTAATACTGAAATCAGATCTGATCTGATCTGTCTTAAGAAGCTGGTCTCCCTTACTGCTTAGCTAGCACCTTACAGACGGCATACCAACAATTGCTATTCATTTCCTCACAAAATGTCCACAACATTGTTACTTAGCAAGGTAACA